TGTTAGCGTTTTGATACAGGGGTGTGTTTGTATATAATGTTTGCATTTGTGTGCAGGAGTGTGCTTGGATGTACAGCTTGTTGTTAGCTTTTAAATGCGGATGTACATTTGTGTGTAGCATTAGTGTTTGAGTGAAGGGTGTAAATAAATTTGAAATTTGAATCCAGGGTTTTTTTTTTATGTAATGTTTGTGTTTGCATGCTGTGTTGGTGTTTGATTGCTGGGATGTATGCACATATGATTGCTGTACTTATGCCACATACATACATACACAAACAAATTAACACACAGACACACATAAAAACGTTGACACGTACACACATATTCATTTACACACTGACATATACACACAGACACAAAGATACACACCTTGACACATGCACAGACCTTGGCACACAGATACACAGTGACACATGCACTAACCTTGACACACACTGACACACACTCAGACACACATACTCTTTGACAGACAAACATACACTCTCACTGGCAAACACACATACACTCTCATTGACAAGCGCATACACTCATTGACAAACACACATACACACTCATTGACAAGCACACATACACACTCACTGACACACACACATACACTCACTGACAAGCACACTCTCATTGACAAGCACACATACTCACTGACACACATACACACTCACAAACACACACGTACACACTCACAGACAAACACACACACTCACTGACAAACACACATATACTCTCAGTGACAAACACACACACACACACACTGACAAACACACATAAAAACTCCTTAACAGACACACACAATTTTTAATTTCACTCCAGCCTCCCTACCTTTGGGAGTACTGTCATGGAGCCTCTATTTCCGTGGGGTCCAGTGGGGCTGAGCGGCTGGCGTGAGGTCCCTCGCTGCCCGCCTCAATTATCAGCGAGACCTGACCGGGCCAAATCGCAGCGTCCATTTTGTTTGCCGGAACTCCATTTGTGAACACCAATTGGAAAACACTGGATTAGACTACTAAGAACCATAGCACCCACTGTCAGGAAACCGTTAATTTAGGAGTAATTTTAATGACGAAGAAAGAAAATGAAACATATTAACAAGTGTCCTTCTAGTGCAGTTGTATTAAGGAGATATGTTATCTAAAGTATGGCAGTTGCTTAACCCGTTCCTTCTCAAGAAGCATCTTAATGTAGTGGTTTTGCTGCATTTTCTCTTTAAAAGTAAAATATTGCCATATGGCCAAAATGCTGCTCCAGAGCCTGTCAGACAAACGACCGTTAGACGTGTTTTCTCCTTACATGCTTCAATTTTGATACGGACTTTACATTAGGCAATATCTTGTGCAGCGTGATGACCTAGAGCAGCTAACGCTTCTCATAGAGAACTGGATTGTTGAGAAATGGTGATTGGCAAAAACATGTTACTTAATACTTAGTACCTAATGCTTATGTATGAGAAGTATCTGATTGGACGAGAGATCATCATGGTCGTCTAAATTTAAATTGGCTCTGGTTTTTATTTTATTTTTTTGGGGTGGAGGTCATGGTTTAGAATGTCCAAGTCTGGTTATCAAGGCAACTAAACCATTAGATTTCAGACACTAGTTGGCTTGTCTGGAAGATTGGCAACCTCAGGAGCTTACGAGGTATGTCCAAAGGCTATAGCTATAGGAAGTAAACTGTTTGTACGGTACATTCAATGTACTGCGGACGTTCTGGATATTGCATACAACTGCCCAGACAGATACATATAAATATTGAATCTAGTCAATATGGATAGATTTGTTCTCCGCATATAGCATAGTATATATCAGAGAAGGTGTCATCAAAGTACACCACTCAGTTTTCAGAAGCTGATATTTTTAGCAAATATTAAAAGTTGCCATCTGGATCCTAATTGATAGAGATAGTGCCCCACATTGGAAATTCAACAGACCAAACTTCATGCTTCCTCCACTTTGCTCAGAATCATTCTCTACCATCTGTTAAAAAAATCATGCACACTAACCCATTTCATCAGCTCTAATGTATAGATAGCAATACCACCATCTGACTATACTTCTATGTGAATATCATTTGTGAGAAATGTTCCCCTATATACAGTTTTACTTTAATTAGAGGGGAAAAACAAACAAACATGTTGCCCGTGTTTCCAAATCAATCTTAATTTAGAGATGATAAGATATACTGTAGATGAGGCAAAGAACAGACAACGCTGTCTCATATAGGACCAGATTTTTGACAAATTTAGGAACCCAATGTAGGATTCTATTTTTTACCAAATTGCAGCAATGGATAGAGGTTCCACTGCCATATGCATTTCAGAAGTGGCAGGAGTTAAAGAGATATGACAGCATGAAGATAGTGGCACCGATCAGGGACAAAGTCATATAAATAAAACCTACCAAACTTCTATTCTCTTGGGCAGAGGACACTCTCTAATTAGGCAATTTAGGCAGTCGCCTAAGGCCTTGCATGGTGTGGGGCCGCCTAAATCCCCATTGGGCAGACTGACATGTCGGGTCTTTGACCTATGACCAAGGGCCCGACACAGAAGGGGGCCCCACGGCTTGCCTATAAATGACTGGAGATCACGAGACTTACCACGCGGTCTGCAGCTCTGCACCTGGTGGAGCTGCAGAGCGGACAGGAAGCCCACTGGACCACCAGGGATACAGCCTGCCCACCGGACCACCAGAGATACAGCCTGCCCACCGGACTACCAGGGAATCAATTTAATAAAAAGGTATTTATGACCCCCAGCCCTGTCACAGTCTCAGCTCCCCCCACCACCTCCTACCTTGTCACAACCCCCTACCACTCCCTGCCCTGTAACAACCCCCCTATTACTCCCTGCCCTGTCACAGCCCCCCTACCCTGTCACAGCCCTCACCACACCCTGTCATCCCACACCCACCCTGTCACGGCCCACCGCACACCTTGTCATCCCCCACCCATACCCTATCTTTACCACACACACTGACAACCCTTCACACACACTGTCACCATTCCCAAACACTTTCAGTCCCCACGACACTGCAAGCCTCTGAACAATGAATATAGAGACTAGCGCTGCAAGCTTGTCCTTCATTACAACTACAGCACCTTAGACACACAATGCAACCCTTTATTTATTTTTAGTTTGGGTGTTAGTGGGGGCCTCATGTTTGAGTTTCGCCTAAGGCATCACAAAATCTAGAGCCGCCACTGCTCTCGTGTGTCACAAGCAGACATTTCACTTTGGAGGGTCTTTGCAAACCACAGTATTCTGCAAACCAAGTACATGCAATAAACTTTTATTAACAAGCTTCTTTTTTATGTAAATTAGATATCCTAATTCTCCTAAATAAAGAGGTCTCCATGAGATGCAACAAAGCATGGCTTAAAACTTGGTTAAACTCATGCATGTCTCACAAAGCATAGAATATAATATTTTCATTTTCAGAGGAGTGATAGCATACCTCAGAATCTGGGGGACGCTCCCTCGTGGCCCTCTTACCCCATCCAGTGACACAACTAATGTCAATGACCATAATGGGAAAGCCCACCCACTGGCAGGCTGCCGGGCCGCCCCCCCAGCTCTCAGGGAGCACTGCTGAAGCACTCCCTGCATGGTCCTAGTGCCCACTGGAAAGCGCGATCCCATCTAATGATGTGCTTAACTGGTGTCCCCAGATGTAGGGCACCGGGGAACTTAGGCGAAAGAGGTCAGACAGAACTACAAAATCAGGACTGTTGGAAGGCCTGTGATAGCTTCAGTATCGGTTCATAGATATCAGACAGATTTATACCTATGAACTTCTGCCCTCGGGAAGTTAGAATGCGTGGGCAAAATCCTGAGGGGCACTGCCAGTGACGCAAGCTGCATCATTAGCTCAGCCCACAATCGGTGGAGCTGCCCAGAACAGGGATAGTGTCATCCAAAAAGGTTCGGGACTGCCCAAAAGAGGGACCCCACTGGGAGGAACCCCAATATCTGGACTATCCTGGTTGGGAGACACTTATGTGTTACGTTGTTGTGGAGGAATAGCTTAGTATCACAGGCTACAGTACACCCACTGCAACAACTCTAGTGCCACCCTTAAATCTGGTATTG